TACAACACTACAACAACCAGTGCCACCCACCACTAACTGAAAATACAAGGCAAGAACAAAGATCCCTCAGTGCAAGAAAGTCAAGTACCACCAAACACAGTGTCTTTTCTGATCCAAGCATGTGTTGGGAGATAATGTAACTGAACAGATGAAAGGAATAGTTCACCCAAAACTGAAGATTCTGTCACTATTTACTCAACCTCATGTCATTCACATTCATTGTAATTGCATGGAAAAGAGCGGCCAGTGTGGAAGAAAAGAAGTCTCACATGAGGTGAGGGACTTCCTTTGAAAGGGAACTTCAGTCTTCAAATACACATTTTGACAACATTAAAAGTGAAGTTCAGATAACTTTCATGGAATTTATTCTGCTCATTTCAGCAGCTGAAAAGATGCAACAGCATTTTCCATGCTGTCATGTGTTAGTATACACTACAGATTTAAAATACACACCTACTCACTTAGAATAATATGTGAATCAGATAATAACTATTTTCAATTTGAGCTTCTTCAAAATCACCACTCCTTGAGGACATTCTCTCAACCAATTTAATGAGGATCCTCAGATGCTTGGGCACTTGCTGGCTTCTTTTCCTCAAAAAAAAAGAAAGAAAAAAGAAATAATAAAATAAAATAAAACTACATTAAATTAAATTAAATTAAAACACATTTACAAAAAGTCTCCCACATCTGTATCACCAAAACTAAAGGTAAAGAAAATGCTCAATCAAATCAAATGCTCAATGCTCAAAAATAATGAAAATGTGGCATCTGTGGATTTCTCTTTCATTCCTTAAATGGAAACGTCTCAGGTTACGTATGTAACCCTGGTTCCTCGAGGGAACGAGACACTGCATCGAGAACGCTAGGGGAACGCCTTCAGCGACCCACGCTCTGAATCACATGTGAAATCAGTCCAATAGCTGAGCGGGACGTCACGGCAGATGACGTCATGACCGGGAAGCTATAAAAGCACGTGCGGCGGAGCCAGCGTCAGCTTCTAGGAATGAAGCAAGCGCCGGCAGGGACGCCGGAAGTATGGCACCGAGAAGCAGCATCTCGTTCCCTCGAGGAACCAGGGTTACATACGTAACCTGAGACGTTCCTCTTCAGGAACTCGAGCTGCGTCGAGAACGCTAGGGGAACGAGAATGCCCACGTCGCCAGACTTCCAAATCTCTGCCTAGTGTCCTTATTAATGCTGCTCATTATAATATAAGGCATAATATTGTTTGCTTGTGTAACTGATGTTTGTGCAACTGGCGAGCTCTTTGACGCCCTCCGTATCAATCTCCTCGGAGAAAGACTGGCGGAGTGTCGCATCTTCCGAACCCCGAGAGCGGGCGCCGGATCTGGTGATTAGCAGATCCATACGTGAAACCCACGAGCACAGCCGCCGCTCCGCCTCGGCGAAAGCGGGGCCGGCACCGCGAGGAACGCTAGTGAAGGCTCCCTCCTCAAAGAGAGCCCTCTGAGAGCGAAGCAAGGCAGTAACAACTATGCTTCGCTCCCAAGCAAACCACGCACAGGCTGTGTGTGTCCCCACTCGTGATATAACATTATCTTTGGGCAGGGAGGAACACACAACCTACAACGTGGCTTGCTCTCGCCCTTGAAATGCTTTGTCCTTGCATGAGCTTAGACATAGCTGGAGCTTATAGACTTTTGACAGACAACAATAAATATGACTGACACACACAGAGCGCTTCGCTGAATGACAGAAAGCTGACGCTGGCTCCGCCACACGTGCTTTTATAGCTTCCCGGTCATGACGTCATCTGCCGTGGCGTCCCTCTCAGCTATTGGACTGATTTCACATGTGATTCAGAGCGTGGGTCACTGAAGGCGTTCCCCTAGCGTTCTCGACGCAGCTCGAGTTCCTGAAGAGGAACTACAGTAGATAATTAGCAGGACATCATCTCACTAGTTGATTAAATACTTAAAAGAAGGTAAAAAGTGCTAATTTCACACAGACTCCGAATCAGATTATTGATGTAAAAGTGCCCTCAGGTAAAAAAGAAAGTATTAATAGAGATAATAGCCACCTTAATTGTTCCTTTAATGAAATATGAAATAAATTCAAGATACGAGTTTGAATACATGCGTATCGCCATTTCCTCTCTTTGTACATTAATTAACAACAAAGACTTTATAGATAGATGAGGGGGGTGAGTTTTAGTTCCCTACAGCCCTAATTTTCTCTTTTAAGACACTGTGAGTGGGAAGGATCATTGGCTTCAATGGCGTTGCATGGTATGAACTTTATAGGTTTGTAACTAGTTTGTGATGACTAAAAAATCATTGGGGAACAATTTCCCTAGTATTTCCTTCAAATCATCCACCTCACAAAACACAAGGGTTAATCTCGTTAAAGTAAGCAATGAAAACATTTGTCAGTGATATGAGAATGAGATGAAAATACACTTCATTGTGATGAATTAAAATCTTACAAGATACTGTTGATGATGGTGGTTATATTATATATATATAAAATATATACAAAATATAAACATTACAACATTACAACAGAAAACGACGCAAATGCACAGATTAACTTGAACCAAATTACACACCAATTAATTTAAATTAAATACACGTTTGAGTCATTTTAAATTACATTTTCATTAAAATACAAAAACTGACGAAAAAAAGCATTGTAAAGCACACGAAACCCTATCAATCAATCAAATCGATTTATCAAATCAGCCTTAATGTAACACTGATAAGACAAGAGCTCAATATCACACTTCTTTAGCTCTGTTTTTCTCAAAGTAACACTCAGTAATTGGCTTTCTGTAACAAGTCGTTTTCAATTGCGCAGCACAGAGCACCTCTGGGTCAGTAGCGTCCCCCAGAATTTAATTTCATACTGCTACAAATTATATCAGTCTGACAAAGAATAAAGATTTGGATTTCTCCCTCTTCTTGATTAAATCTCACATTCTTAGCTATCAGTACATTCAAATTAATATTTTTCATCTTAGTATCCTATCTTGCAAGCCGATCATCTAATTTATATTCAAAACTATCAAGCAAACAGCCGACAGCCCTTCCTCTCGGATCTGTCCACTGGATCCTGTTATTTACTTTAACAATTGCTCTCCTGTTAACTGAACTACACAGTCCTTTTCTTTGCAACTTGGACTTTTCTTTCACCTTTTTAATGACAAGGCCTATTATTCGCTAATATAAATTGCATCCGAGTTGGTTGCAATCTCCGTGACGTCTTTTCAGACAGTCCCCTGGCCTATATACAGGTGCATCTCAATAAATTAGAATGTCATGGAAAAGTTCATTTATTTGAGTAATTCAACTCAAATTGTGAAACTCGTGTATTAAATAAATTCAATGCACACAGACTGAAGTAGTTTAAGTCTTTGGTTCTTTAATTGTGATGATTTTGGCTCACATTTAACAAAAACCCACCAATTCACTATCTCAACAAATTAGAATACTTCATAAGACCAATAAAAAAACATTTTTGGCCTTCTGGAAAGTATATTCATTTACTGTACATGTACTCAATACTTGGTAGGGGCTCCTTTTGCTTTAATTACTGCCTCAATTCGGCGTGGCATGGAGGTGATCAGTTTGTGGCACTGCTGAGGTGGTATGAAAGCCCAGGTATCTTTGACAGTGGCCTTCAGCTCATCTGCATTAGATTCTCTATGGGGTTCAGGTCTGGTGAGTTTGCTGGCCAGTAAAGCACACCAACATCACGGTCATTTAACCAACTTTCGGTGCTTTTGGCAGTGTGGGCAGGTGCCAAATCCTGCTGGAAAATGAAAGCAGCATCTTCAAAAAGCTGGTCAGCAGAAGGAAACATGAAGTGCTCCAAAATGCCTTGGTAAACGGGTGCAGTGA